CTCTAAATGACATTCAGGGCACTCCATGAAATGGGTTTGTCTGTTGCTCTAGCTTTATCTTCCATCAGTTCAGCAATAGTAACCTAATTAATAGTTCCTTAAGCACATTATACATTTTTGTATCTCTGCATTCAGTCAGTCATTCAACAAATATTTATTCAGTGCCTACATTAGGCATGTGACAGTGAATAAGATGTAATTACTTCCCTTAAGGAGCTTACTATATATTGGGTGAAACAGACAAATAAGCAAACTAGAGTATATTTGCTGAGTGTTATGAGGTATATGCATAGGATCTTATGGGAACATTTACCAAGTACCAGAACATTTGATAACCTAACGTACTTAAATGATAGAAGTTGAGACTGGAGAAGTAATTAGGAGTCAGATTGTAAAAAGGCTTGTGGTCCGTATAAGGAATTTGAAATTTACACAAATTGCTTACAGAGAGCCATTAAAACTATTAAAAGCCCTTAAGCAGAGATGTGACATGTCCAGAACGATTATTGTAGAAGTCATGAAGAGAAGAGAGTGCAAGGGGGTAAGAAAGAATGCTGTCAGTGATAGTATAATACCATATGCCTACAAGGAAGGCCAGTTAATACTACTGTTACTCAAATTTATGTACCAACCACCAAAGCCAGAGAGAGGAAATTGAAGATTTTTACCAACTTTTGCAGTCTGAAACTGACCAAACTTGTAATCGTGGTATATTGATTATTACTGGTGATTGGATTGTGAAGGTTGAAAACAAAGAAGAATCACCAGTAGTTGGAAAACATGGCCTTTGTGATAGAAATGATGCTGGAGATCACCTAATAGAATTTTGCAAGACCAACAACTTATTCTTCGCAAATACCTTTTTTCAACAACATAAATGGCGGCTTTACACGTGGACCTTGCCAGATAGATACACAGGAATCAGATCAACTCTATCTGTGGAAAGAGGAGATGAGAAGCTCAATCAATATCTTCAACCAAAACAAGGCCAGGAGCGGACTGTGGAACACACCAT